ACCACAGATAGTACCAAACCCCATACATACCATGTTTCCTTCTGTACATACCTACCTGTGATAAAGTTTAATTTATAAATTATGCACAGTAAGAGATTAAGAATGATAACTAATAAAACAATATAATAATTATAACAATATACTGTAATAAGTTATGAGAATGCCATCTCTCTCTCAAAATATCTTATTGTACTATACTCACCCTTTTTGTGATGATGCAAGATGATAACATGCCAGCTTGATGAGATGAAGTGAGATGGATGAGTGGGCACTGTGATGCCGTGAGGGGTGCTGCAGGGGGACTTGACCACCAGCACTGAGATCCCAATGCTCAGTCCGTCCTATGGCCACAGTGGCCAAGTGTACAGCTGGAGACGCTGGATAACGGATGCACTACACAGGTGGGCAAGCAACGCGAGATTTCATCACACTACTCAGAAGGCGGCACAATTTAAAACTTAGGAATTGTTGCCCTGGCCGGTTTGGTTCAGCGGTTAGAGCATCAGCCCGCAGACTGAAGAGTCCCGGGTTCGATTCTGGTCAAGGGCATGTACCTGGGTTGCTATTCGGTCCCTGGCCCCTGGCTGGGGTTGTGCTGGAGGCAACCAGTCGATGTGTCTCACATCGATGTCTCTCTCGCTCTCTCTCAACTCTGTCTGAAAATAGATGAAAAAATATCCTCAGGTGAGGATTGAAAACAGACAAACATGAATTGTTTATTTCTGGCATTTTCGATTCCGTATTTTCGGACTGAGCCGACTGCGAGTCCCTGGAGCCACGACGGTGCCCTGACTGGGAAGTCTCTGCCACTGCAGCCCGACCTCCGCGTCACACGAGGAAAACAGAGGACCCGCGTCAGAAGTTGCCATGAAAATGCAAGTAGATAACACAGGTAAAGCACTTAAATGAGATGATAAGTATGAAAACTTGCACTTGTGGTTATTAATAAATGTCAGCCATCAATCCAGTGAAAAGTGTCCAGTAATTACTGTAAGTGTCTTGGTCACTCCGGAATGAAGAAGAAGCATGAAGTACTATTTCCCTTTAATTATAGTGACTCAATTAAAAAGGTACTCCATAGTTACTGCCCCGAAGGCTTATCTTATTCCCAAGAACCACAGAAAAAAGCACCTTTGACTTTAGAAGATTTAATGTTTCTCCCCATGAAAGAGCCACAAATGCTCTGTTTTGTACTGTGCTACAAATGCTTTCTTGTCTTACTGAAATGGTCGCCGCATAATAAATAAGCATTTTGTAATGCTGCTCGTAAAACCCGGATGATTATGCTATACAGCACTTTATAGTTTAATAACATTTTCTCTTATGTTGTCTAATTTGTTTCTAACATCACCCTAATGAGGCTGGTTTTATTTCTATTTTGTGTCCAAGAGATCAAAATTTTGGAGTAACTGAATGACCAACCTAAGGTTACAAAAATGCCAGATGGTAGGCTGGGACTCAAACCTTGGTCCTCTTACTTCAAATTTCATGTCATTGACCTTTTTGTCTCATAGTCTGGAAAAGTCTGGTGCAGCAGAGCATTTGTGAAATCTTCCATGGGTAGATGGTAATTTGGAAGTGGGTTTGCTGATTTTTTACTGTGGTGATAGACCAGTTTCTGGAGTGTTGTCTATATAGGTCTGTAATTGTTTTATTTGTAATTTGAGACTAAAGACAGGTTACTTCTTCTTCTTCTTTTTTTTTATTTTATTTTGTAATAATCCACCATAGTATACATTTAGGATAAATGCAAGTCATTTTCTACTTACACCTTTGAGCTCTCAAAGACTACTAGTGAAAGAAGAACACCATTTCAGTTTTTAAGTGTAGCATTGATTGTACAACCATTTATATTTCATAGTTGAACTTCTGAATCACTTTTATGTCTTTGAAATTGTGTTCCTGCAAATAATGTAGTATTGCACTTTAATTTTTGAGAGGTCATTTTCTTAGTAAAACCACAATTTTCCACCCTACCAATTAAACTCTCTCATTTCATGGCTTTTTGGGTGATGGGATCTTTCTTCCTCCTTCCTCTCTGAACACAGCCCACTTTTATCTTCCTCTTGTCTCCTCCCCAGGAAGTCAGAAACCTCTACATCATTCTAAACTACTTCCACTCATCTCGCCTGCAAATTGTCCTCCAACTTCTTTGCTGCGTATGCCTGAGGGCCACTAAGTCCTCCCTCCCTCCTCATTCCCACTGCCACTGTTCAGGACCTTGTCCTTTCTGACTTCATTATCATTATGCCATCCATATTGATTTTATTTAGCCCACTCTTGGCCTGCTTGCTTCGTCCCCTACAATGTTGTTGGAGGATGCTCAAAAAAACAAAAAAAAAAAAAAAGAAAGAAAGAAAAGAAAAAGAAAAGTTAAAAACCCTACAGTATGGATAATCCAGTTACAAAGGCCTCCACACTATTTTCCTTCTACTCCCTCCGGAGAACCTATGTTGTTGCAGTTCCTTAATTTCACCAACCTCTTTCACTTCCGTGATTTCTTCATGCTCTTCCCTCTGTCTACAATGATCTAGCTCACATGCATCTTCCTTTGTCACCCCCAGTTTCTCCTAGTTAGCTTCTACTCATCAGATAAGTTTTGCTTCCTTCAGGGAGCCTTCCCTGACCAAACTCCCACAGCACCTGCAGAGGAGGATATGAACAAACCCGCCTCCTCTTCCTCCCAAGCACTACATTTCCTTGCTCCCCTCACTGGCCCAAAACAATACCCTCCAGCTGCTGCAGGCTTTCCCCTCTTCCATGGCTTGACCCACACGAGCCTGGCAGCACGGGACACTGTGAGCTGAAGAAGACAAGGTCGCGACATGGTAGGGGCCTTGGTTTCTGAGCTACCACTCGAAGAAAAGTTTCTGGATGATTAAGAAGACCCGTTTTGGACTTTTCATGATTGAGGTACCAATCACTTTTTTAAAATATGTTTTTATTGATTTTATTTTTTAAGAGAGAGAGGAAGTGAGAGGGAAAGAGAGATAGAGACATCAATGACAGAGAAACATTGATTGGCTGCCTCCAGTACACCCCATATTGGGGATCAAACCCACAACCTGGGCATGTGCCTGACCAAGAAATCGAACCAGCAACCTCTTAATCCATGGGTCGACGCTTAACCACTGAGCCACACTAGCTGGATGGGGTACCAATTCTTATTACAGTCATTAGCCTACCTAGTATGTAGTCACTGCTCAATACACATTTCTGAATTTATAACTGAATGAGTGAATATAAATGCGTTAGGACAGAAAATAGAGAATGAATCAGATAGGGCATCTTCAATCAAGCTGTCATATCTATCTATCTATCTATCTATCTATCTATCTATCTATCTATCTATCTATTTCTGTTGTTGCTGCTGTTATTAATCCTCACCCAAGGATATAGTTCCATTGATTTTTTTTTTTTTTTGAAATAGAGTGGAAAGGAGGAAGGGGGAGAGAGGGAGAAAGAGAGACACATTGATTGGTTAACTCATGCATGACCCCAATCTGGGCCGTTGATGGAATCTACAACCCAGGTACATGCCCTTGACTGGGAATCAAACCTGCGACACTTTGGTCTGAGGGCCAGTGCTCTAACCGCTGAGCCAAACTAGCCAGGGAGGGCTCAAGCTGTCATATTTGACAACCAATGTTAACTTAATTTTTAAAACATTAAAGCTTGCACAAGGTAATTGGTTTACCCTTTTTCGAAATTCATTTTTCTTTATCTGTGGTAGACACAGATGCGTGCTTACGGTACAAGACATTTGTCATGATAACTTTCTATTGGGTAACTCAATTTCGTCCCCAATTTACTGGTATATAACAGATTCAAACAAATAAATGACAATGTTGTAATCCTTCATTTACTTTTCTTGGTAATCTGTCTTTTATTCAGTAGAAGGATGGTAATTAATTTTCTGCAAAAGCTAGATCATTCTCCTAAGGCCACCTATGAACAATTTTGATTTGTGGTACTGCATTATCAAGAGGCCGTGTAGGTGGGATCAGCTTACAAGCAATAATTACATTAGGTGATTCCTTTTCAGTAGCCAGTAATCAAATTTTAAAGCCTGGGTTATGAAAACTTAATGTTCGTTCATTATTTATATTATATAGTCTAATAAAAAGCCATAATATTGACTCTTAGAATGACCTGTGCCTTGCATAATTATACGTGACAATAAAACTGGGTGCTATCTACTGACCACGAGAAAAGGAACAACTCTCTGCTTGGATATTTTTGCCTGTATACCTTCAGAAACAGAATGTCAGGTGCCATGAATAAAAGTAAGTGTAATTTTTATTCAATATCTTATAACTCATATTTTAAAAGAATAATACATCTATGTCAGATGTTAGATGAGTCAAGTTTCTGACACAAGAAATTAGTTTAATTTTAGTACTAATTATATATCTGAAATACCAGTTTGGGTTCCAACTGTAAGGAATGTAGATTCTTATTCTATATTTGATGTTATTTGATGTAGTTTCAAGCTGACCTAGTTCCCATAATAAATTGGGTGAAATAAAACTTTATTTTACATCTAATTCTGTTTGAGATGGTTGAGCTATGGTTGTTCAGAATTCACTGAGAAGCTTGGCAGATAGCATGGAGATGAATTTTACTTTTGGGCTATTGCTTCTAGTTAAATGATTAGAAATAAAAAATCACAATGTAAAGATTAATTCTATCATACAATTTTGGCTATTGCTTCAGGTAAAATAGTTAGAAATAGAAATTTACAACATAAAGATTAATTCCTTCATCTGATTAGGTTAAGGAATAAAATATGTACTAGTGTATAAGAATTTAATACAAATAAAATTTATATACCTTACTTTATTCTGAAATTTGAAATACTAATTGTCATGACACGATGAACTCAGCAAGGTTTTCTTTGCCTAAGGGGCCAACTTAATTAGCTTTTTAAATATCTGACATTTTAAATAATCTTATCAGATTTGCATGTTTATTAATGGTTCTAGTAATCTCTCCAGACCATGGTTGCCAAGGGCCCTGGAGAGGTGCTGTGTGTATCAGCTGGTCTTGTGGGAGGTAGGTAGACTGGACCGAATCTGCTTCAGGTTTCTTTGTAACAAAGTGCACCGAGTTTCTCTGGTTCCCTGGTAGAAAAAAGCATTTCACAGTAAAATGTGTGTGTGTGTGTGTAATTATCTCACAATTTGTCAATATTAACCAGAATTTCCCATCTGGGACTCAGTTTTACTAAACTAACAACATGTCCTGGTGAGCAGTAGAGTCTCATGAACATCAGTTTCTTCCCTTCCTCCTGACTCAATTATTTTCTAATATAACTTAAATATTTCAAGACATGCTGTATAAAAAAATTGTTTCTTTCCATACAATTTGGCAGAAACAGGACAGAATTTTAAAAAATTACCTAGCAAATAAGAGAAAGCGATCTGATTAAGATAGCTGTCTGAGTGTACACACCTACCTCCCTTCCCGTCTGAGATACTATGAAGTGGCAAAAAAAAAAAAAAAAAAAGATTTTGTAATAAAGAATAAATCCCAACCAAGGTGGGAAAACAAAAAACAATGCCATCAACAGACCAGAAATGTTAAAGAAGTCTGGAAAAATGGAAGGCGCGCAGGACCAGAGCTACAGAGATGACACCGTGTCCCTGACACTCCAGTCACACATAGGCGAGGAGGCTGGGATGGAAGAAGGATGGTGGGACCAGTGACCACCGGGAGTCAGAGATGGTCTGCAAGTACTGACTGAGGAGCAGCTTCAGAGGGAGGCTAGTAAGCACCTCTCCTCTCTGTACATTTTATTCAGAAGCAAGAATGCAGAGCTTTTATTCAGCAGGAATTCTGTGCTGGCCACCGAAGCCAGAGAATTACAAAGAATGAAGGAGGGTGTTGGCCTCCTGGGACCCTCCTCCCTGGCCCTCACAGTCCTCTCTCAACGACAGCCTTGCTATCACGACAGGCCCTCTGCCAGGCTTCCAGAATGACCCCTTTCGGACTCCTCTTTATTCTCTTTTTGCCTTAGTGACCCTAAGTGACACTTAGTGATCTAAGTGTTAGGAAAAACACAATTAATCAAAGTAAATTGACAATAACAAACAGAAAGCCTTAAAATTCCTTGGAGGCATTTCCTTTTTAAGATGAGGACCTAGTAGATGTAAAGCAGACAATAGTGACTCAAAGTAATTCTTTCCCCATCCCTCTCAATCTTTTTTTTTTTTTAATTATTTTTTCTAAATACATTACCTACTCCAACCTATTAACAGCCAGGCCTGCAGCTGATCCCTGGTCTGTAGCCCTGAATACAGGTGCTGGTGGGTAAACTGCAGGTGGTGAAGCTGAATGCCTGTCCTCCATCAGTCTGTCAGCAGGCCACATGGGTGATGACTGGAGATAGCTTCAATATTAAACCTCTAAGGTATTCCAGTCCAGGGGTGGAATTGATGGCAGCCTGTCATGTCTATTGGAAGATTTGGGGGGACCTTCCCATAGTGCCTCATATCCTCTCGACCACTCTGCTACCCTTGAGTTCAGCCCAGGGAAGCTCAGGCAGTCCACATACTTTTGGTTAGGGCTGGACTAGCCAGATGCTGGATCCAGGTGGACTTGTGTCAGGTGCTGGAGATCCCCACGTGAATATGCCAATCCAGGGTCTCAAAGGAGCGCACAGAGTGTCCAAATAAAAAGCTGGTCAAGTTTTCTCCTGTGCGAAGTGTAATCGGCTTTGGAAGGAAGTCTGCTGCTTCCTAACCTCGTGGCTTAAACACAGTGGCAACAGTTTCAGAGGGTCCGCTGTCTGTACCTGAATGAAGACCTAGCCTCTCCAGCTCAGAGGAGGCCCCTTCCAGGCCACAGCTGACACCTGTGCTGCTGATTAATAAAAGCAGTGGGGGCGTGGAGATAAGCCTTTCAAATACAGCTGACCACAAACAGCAGTCAGCTTGACTTACTTGAACCTAGCAGTCATTTTATTAGCCACTCTGAAAATCCAAACCCTAATTGGATTAGTATGTTTATCCGCAGGAAATGTATCCAGAGGAAGTGGGACCTTCTATTAGAAAAGAGAAGTTTTTCTAAAAACTGAAACTCCAAATCAAAGAGGCTTCTAAAATGAAATGGACAAGGGGAAAAGACACCCAGGGGCTTTTAGAAAAATCGTTATAAGAAACAGAAATTTTCCCAATGTACCCAGTTATTTTCTCATTCTCCCCCACCCCCCACCCCACGGTGGGGCAGGGCGGGGGTGGGGGTGGGGCCTCTCTGTTTTTATTAGCTGGATCCACCCTGACCTGACACCCAGACCAGGGTGGTGGGGGTGTGGGGGTGTGAGGGATTTCAGCCTAAAGCAGTGAGCCCGTGGGACACGGCGCGGCCACCCCCTCGGCGCCGGACCACGAGGTCTGGTCCCTGCCTCCACCCGCGCCCCTTCTTCCCGGCTACAAGTAGCTGAGGCCCCTCGCAGAAGTTCCCGGGTTCGCGCAGAGCGGGTCCTCCGCGGCCCCGGGAGCGCCAGGTGCGGCCCCGCCTCCGCCCGCGCCGCTCACCGCGATCTGTCGCCCCAGGTGCCAGCGCCGAGCAGCTGCAGCAGGTGGCGTCCGAGGTGGGGTCCGTGAGGTGCAGCCGGAGGAGGATGCTGCGCGCCGGGAGGAAGAAGGAGCCCCAGGGCGTGGTCTACCAGGGCGTAGAGGACGACATGGACGACTCCACGAACTCATTCAAGGTACCCTGGGCGATCGGCGGTCGGGACAGCGAGGCCAGCGCGGGCATCGGCTCTCCTTCGCTGTGCCCTCCGGGGTTCGAGGTGTCCTAGTGGACAGCCCCGGGGCGGGAGCGCGGGGAGCGCGGCGCGTGACAGCTGCGGGCTTGAGGTGTGCGCGGTGCACGCGGGGACCTTCTGGGAAAGTGGGGGGTCGGAGGGCCGCCTTCTTAAGGCGCCCACACTGTGCCTGCTCTGTCCTGGCTGCTTGCTTGTTTGTTCAACCCCTTCTTGCTCGTGAATGGCCAACTGAGATCTGGGGAGAGCGACCCCCAAAAGTACCCTTTGCATTTGGCAAAATTAGCAACTTCCAAAATCAGGACAATTTTAGAGCATGTGCTGTTGCGCTAGACCTTTTTGTAGATTTTATTTCAAACCGAAGAGTTAAATGTTGTACCTGGTAGTCGGATTTCCGGAGGTGCATCGACGGTGAGAAGCGTTCTTGTCCCGTGGAGCAAAATAGCGAAACCAGCACATGCAAGGGAAGCGGTGCAGAAGGGCGGGACCCGAGTATTCTCCAGGGCAGGCAGGTCGGGTAGGCTCTGCGGAGAGGGAGACCCTTTGAAGAGGGGCTGGTGGTCCTTGGGGTCCCAAGGACTAGGATGGGGCTTCTGTGCCTTAAGCAGTTAGTTCCCTGGAGACCTACTCAGAAGGCAGCATCAGCTACTGCAGCCCTGAGGCGCAGTCGGAAGGCAGAGGCTCTAGGTGCTCAGAGACCCGCCACTGGGTTTCCTCAGATTGTCAGCAGGAGGAGGGCTCTCTTTTCAGACATTAGCACATGTTTACAAATGTCCCTCCAACCCCCCACCACAAATTCCTTCCCACATTGGAATCATATTAACAGTTCCTATGTATTTTTGGAGGTGGGTGTTGATGCTTATGCAAACACACGTTAATAGCATATCCAAAGTGGGATGTCACTGAGGTTCCCCCTTTTATTTCCTCACGAAATAATTTCAGAATGCTTTTCAAATCAGCACCTGGAGATGTACCTCACGTTTTTTTAGCAGCTTTATAGTCTTCCGTATCTGAATGTATCCTGGTTTGTTAGCCGGTTCTGCATCCAGGAACACTTAGGCTGTGTCTGGTTTTGTTTTGTTTTATTTTGTTATTTTATATTATCAATTGTATCTGTGAGGGGAGATGTGACTTTGCCTGTCCACTGGCACCTTAGTGGGTATGTCTGCATGTTAAAGTCCCAGCAGGAACAAGAGGTATATATAACTTTAATTTTGGTAGAAATCACCAAATTGCCCTCTAAACAGGTTGCATGAATGGACACTCGCCAATGGTGTGCGAGAGTCAGGCAGGTGCAGGAAACCAGCCCCATAAACCAGGCTTCTCAAGCTGAGTCTGTTTGCACACGGAGACTGCACACTTACTTCCTCCTCCATATGAACACGTTAAGCAAGGTCTTTTGGCTTAATCCCTAGTACTGAGGTCATGAGCGGATTTCAAGCATTACCATAGTGTCTCTGGAATTAATATTATTGGGGGAGGAAGAAAGCATACAATTTTGCAAATCACACCAGAAATACTTTCATTGCTTACCTGAGTCGGAGAGCCATTTGTGTTGTATTAGAAGCCACATTAGAGCTTATCGATGAAGGGATTCTTAGATTTAATTACCTGCAGCAATTCCAGATCATTCTGTGGAAATCTCCATGGTGAGACAAACTTGAAATCAACACACATAATACTCCCGATAGTTCTGAATTTGAAGGAGTTCCTGAGTAAAAAGATATTGTGTATAACATTTTCTCCACCACACACACTCTCTCAGGAATACTAACAAAACTGAAGGATGGCAGAGTCCTTACAAGATGAGAAATGTGGATGAAACCATAAATGTGTGAATTACACATCTATCCTTTCCCAGTGACTTTTCTTCAACAGTTAACACATTGGCATTTGACCTTTCATTTGTTATAATCTCTCACCTATGTTTCTCTTCTTTTTGCCCCATCACCACTTATTTCATTAAAGTAACCTGGAACAGATGTCTTTGCTATCTGTTTTACAGAATTCGCTTCTTTAAAGGTGATCTCGACTATTGTATCCTGTATGTAGCTATATAGTGTGACAGTACAAAACTACACTGAATGGATATATAATTGGTCTAAATCACATTTGGCTTATTCCAGAACTTTCTTTAAGAAATCCTGCGAAAGCTGGCTTACACACTGTGTTCAGACCGCTTAGCGCCTCTGAGGAGCTTGTATCAAGTATTTTTTTTTTTTTTTATCCTCACCCGAGGATATTTTTCCATTTTTTTTGGTACAGATAGAGTGGGAGGGAGAGAGAGGAAGGGAGAGAGAGAGAGAAACATCGATGTGAAGGGACACATCGAGTGGCTGTCACCCGCACGACCAACCAGGGCCGGGGACAAACTGCAACCGAAGTACGTGCCCTTAGCGGGAACCGAACCCGGGTCTCTCCGGACCGCAGGCCGACGCTCTAACCGCTGAGCCAAACTGGCCAGGGCTGTATCGAGTATTTTGATGCACTTGTGCCACTGTGAATTCAGCAGTTCCTTGGGAGCATTTGAACCTTGCACTTGTCCCCAACAATGTGTAGCTGGGATTGTGTTGCCAGCACATTGCTGAGCAGACCTTTGAATTGCTCTTTCTGGCTTTGTGGGGTAGGCAGTATAATCCCTTTATTATCACTGGAAGAATATTTCAAACTGAGGTGCTAAAATATTTCCAAATGGATTTAGGTAAACACTTCTTTGATAGGGTAAGACATTAAGAAAGAGCCCATTTCTTCTAGAAGCTCCTTTTTAAATTTATTAACTAATATATGCAAATTTGGAAATTGTTGGATATTCTTTGTCATATGCACTCTTTTAAAGGGATATGTAGGTTATGTAGGGTTTTGTAATACAAAAGTGACCCATCTCTATTTGAGGGTGTTGCATGGAAGAGTGACCCCTTAGATACTATTGTGTGTTAATGGAGCAAAAATCAAAGATTAAATATATATATATATTTTTGTATGTGCCCCTAGCGGGAACCAAACCTGGGACTCTCTGGTCCGCAGGCTGACGCTCCAACTGCTGAGCCAAACCAGCCAGGGCCAAAGATTAAAATTTGAAGAGATTTTGTTTTATTTATTTCAACCTGATGTTTATTATATGAATCCTAAATGCTCAATTCTTTTTTTTTTTTATTAATTTATTTTTGTTACAGATTTTTCTCCTGTTTTCCCCGTTAGACACCCTCCTCTTGATCCTATCCCCACCCCTCGGCATTGTTGTCTATGTCTATTAGTTATGCTTAAACGCATAAGTTCTTTGGTTTATCTCTTCCCTCCCCCACGCTGACCCCCTCCTCTGAAGTTTTTCAGTCTGAACCCTACTTCTGTGTCTTTGGGTCTATTTTGTTCACCACCTTATTTTGTTCATTATATCCCACAAATAAGTGAGATCATGTGATACTTGTCTTTCTCTGACTGGCTTATTTTGATTAGCATAATACTCTCCAGGTCCTTCCAGGTCATCTCAAAGGATAAGAGATCTTTCTTTCTTACAGCTGCGTAGTACTCCATTGTGTGACCCGGCCCGCAGGTCGATCAACGAGGACCCTAGAGGGGGAGTGAGGATGAGGTGGGACAAGAGACACGAGAAATGGAGACAAGACAGGATTCTGATCAAGTCTCGTTTATTCAGGGGGAGTTCACGCAATATATAGGGGGAAAACATCCCACCTGAAGCCAACCCCAGCAAACACCCCAGGTGGAACAAATAAGCAAAGAACGGAGCAAACAATTATCTAGAGGAATGCAGGCCCGGCACGCGGAGAGGCCCGGCACGCGGAGAGGCCCCGGCACGCGGAGAGGCCCCGGCACGCGGAGAGGCCCCGGCACGCGGAGAGGCCCCGGCACGCGGAGAGGCCCCGGCACGCGGAGAGGCCCCGGCACGCGGAGAGGCCCCGGCACTGGAGCCGGAGACAGCAGAGCAGACTTTAACAAGATGGATGCCATGCAAACGGTCTCCCACAGGTCCCCTTTTATTAAATTTTAAGGCCGAAATAATACCTTGAGGGGACTGTGCCTGTCTTAGGTCAGGAAACTTGCACACGGTTCCAACCTATCCTTACCCGTCATTGGAAAGCAAGGCAGCATAAGGCCTTGTTCCTGTCTTAGGTGGTGGTTGGTGACGCGTGTGAGTTCCAGTTGCCCGTCTCTGGCTAACCAGCCCAGCGCACCAAGGTGACGAGGTTTTTGAGACTATTTGCCATCTCGGGCATAGTCATAGCTTACTGACTCACAGCTAAAGTGAGCTTCTCTGTCGGCCATTTCAAGTCTATAATAGTGGACCTGTATAGATTGCATCTTAATGGCATCCATCTGCTGCTTGAAAGCCATCACCTCATTGAAGAGGAAAGGTCCTAGTGACACAATCAGTAAAAGGCCAAGTAAGGAGCCCAACAGAGGGAGAAGATAAGGCAGCACCCCATTTAGCCCGCTCCAAAGGGGGTTATCGAAAAGTTCTTTTAAGCAGCAGCGTTCCTGCAAGGCAGTTGCATGGGGGGCCAAATAGGGCCCTCAGGAGCTCGTCAGGGTTTGGAGGAGGCTCAAAACCTCCTTTCCACAAGGAGGCAAAGATGCAGTAGTATTCCTGGCAGTAAGATTTCAGCCTTCTGGTCCATTCCTGAAATAAAAAAACAGGAAAAGCCTCTCAGGGCGAATTTTCGTCCCTGGAGTTATCTATATGGTTATCTGCTATTCCTTTAACTTGATCAATCTGTTTAACCAGACGCTCTGGTAGCCATCTGGCAGATTTCATTTTCTTAGAGTAAATGCACACAGAACCTCGGCCCCAGATGAGGACTGGGTCTGGGTCATGCCAAGAGTTGGTTAGCGGATCTTTCCAAGAATTGTCTAATTGTATGCCCTTTCAAGGCAGCAGCCATGGCAAGGCCCTGTTGATAGGCAGCCCCAATATCAGAGCATAGGCAAAT